TTTTCACGAATCCAACCTGTATTTGATTTTCAAAGCTAGTATTTATAGGAGATGATACGTCCTTTTGTGGAAGAACCGAGTTCAAATTCAATATTACAAAGAGAATATCTGATAGATTTTCTACGGCGTTCTTCAGCCAACATAAATCACCAGTCAATTTTGTAGAGAAACTACACGCTCTTTACTACAATGTAGGCGAACAACCTGCCGCAGTATTGAAATAGACATTTTCATACGTTACACCCTAATAACAAATTACCAAGTAAGAAGAAAGTCGAAGTATAGTAACTCGATCGAGGGTGCGTTGCATACTGCACGGTCGCCGCCGCGGATCGTCCATTTTCCCCGAGGAGAAAACTTTTGCTTGCCTTGGTAGTTGCTACTTGTTGTGCCTCTCCACTATAGTTCCTCGCCGCTTACATCAGTACCATTGATTCCAAGTCATCCAACGCGCATGAATGTTTCATTGCTCGAATATCCGAGGGAAACGCGAAGGAATTCAAGAGTCGTTTACACGATAAAAAAAAAGAGAAAGAAAAAGAAGGAAACAACAGCCAGAACCAGAGCTTACTTGCCGAAAAATGAAATTTCACTGTCTCCTGTTGGAACCGCGATGTTATGAGGCGGCGGCTGAATAAATTCATGAGGCGACGCCAGATCAACGTGCACCACTCATCGATTTGAAATTCGAATTCGAATGTAACCCCGGTCGGATGACCCGGCATAAGAGGATATAAGAGAAAATTCTTTGACAGCGTTACAACCGTATCGCGTCTGTCGTTGGCGTTTATCGTCCCTTGCGAGTTTTCTCGAGCGAGCCCGAAACTTTTTCCCAGTTCGCAGCCTCCGTAACGTTAGTCAGGGAAATTCATGCAGCCTGGCGGAGTCGTGTTTCATCGCGTGTCGATTACAATATAAAAGAGCGAGCGAGCGAGAGAGAGAGAGAGAGAGAGAGAGAGAGAGAGAGAGAGAGGAGAGTCGTAAATTCGAGCAATATTTCCACGCGCCCCCTCTACCGCGTAATTGTCGCGTCGAAGTGGATTTCGGTTCCGCGTCTCGCTTCCAATTACAATATATCGATAACGCGTTTCTCAACGCGTAACACTTCCGGTCGCCGAGTATTTCCCTCCCCTTTCCGTCGTCTACACCGAATTCGATAGGACGGTCGAATGTGTCGCGCGATTTTTCGCTCGTTAAGGCCGCCTAATAACGAGGAATCGTCTACGTTTTTTTAATGACGCCACTCTGTGGCGCGCGAGCGCGATATAGCCGACGCTCAAGAAGTAGCCCCCGTGGATCGAGTAATTACTTCGTTAGAATGCACGCTGACTTAACGAGTGTCGAGTTAACGAACTGTGTCAAGAATAGATCGCATCTGATTACATATTCGATAGATTCCGTTTCTACGTGCGGAGATTTCACGAAGAAATTGCTTCTCCTCCTCCTCCTCCTCCTCCTCGGTTTCCATTTTTCTTTCTACGGTGGGACACGTCGATATATCGACGCACAGTTGAACCTAGCCATTAAATCGGCGAAGGTGATGCATAAAGGAATAATTCGGTCGGAGGATCGTCGAGTCGGAGTTATCGTTTCCTTGAATCACTTGCTCGTGAAATGAAGTTAATATGAAATGCCGCGTTAATTGAGTCCCTTTGCGATTGCCAATTTCCAACGATTTATACCCATCCAGCAGTGTACGCCTGCCAATAATTCCAAATATTGTACCAACGGGCATGCTGATTAATTGAACTTAATTATTTCAATGTGCGTCATAGTTGGAAAGAAATGTTTGAAATTTGTATTGCAAAATAGTATCAATCATTCAGAGCCAATAACTGGCACGAATATTTTAGTGGCTCGTTATACATGTATAAAATTATATCATATAAAACATTTCGAAATGTCATTAGCATTGTAATAAAACATGATTATCGCCATTATATTACTCCGATAATGCATACGGACAGTGTTTAATAATGTACTGCAATAAATATCTCACAGTGAATGTTATAACAATCGTCTCTCGTTTAATGAAATTTTTAAGTGTGCCATACAACTGCGTTCTATTTCGTGCTTCTTCTTTTTTTTTTTTTTTGTACTTTTGCGAATTTAAATAAAGAAACACGATGTAATCAGAAATTGATTCCATCTGCCGAATATTACAATTATCCATCGCGTTCGTTCTCTTATCTTCATAAATGCGTAAAAAGTCCGCAGTTTGTACACGAAACATAAAATACGAGCGTTAAAGTTAACAGTGCACCGGTGTATTTATTGTAATATAATATTGCGTATTCGATTCTTTTTTCATTCCCTTTCCGCTCGCTGACCTTGTAATCTTTCGAACAATTATACGAAAACGTTCCGATCGTTATTAATCGCGGGGATTTCGATCTCTTAAATAACGATTCACGAACGATGAAAATTTTATCGGGGCAAGCGCGCCGCGAGTCTCTAAATAACTGTCGCGATAAGAAATATCGTCATTATGCACGAATATTTAAAAAGGAAGGTGGAGGTTTGCTCGTTTCTCGCCACACGTTATTCAAACACCGTGATTCGAGTTCTTACAATTTTCGATCGCCGGGTTACAATTTCATTCGTCAAACAGTCTGGATTGCGAGGTTAATATTTCATCTCGCGGTGCTCTTTAAACAGCAGCGAATCGATTTCCCCCCGGACGAGGCTTGCTTTGCCACGACCTTCTCGTATTAAGACATTATAGCGCTGCTATTCTATAGGCGTGAACCGATTAATCGATCGGCTCGAAGGAAAATCTATAACTAACCTGGCCTCAGGTCGACCTGGCATAAAAGTCGTTTCAACGTCCGAGAAACTTCGAATTAACAGGCCGTATGTTCTTTGTACAATTTCGAATTTCTTTTCATCAAAAAGTTTTAAATATTGTAACAGGTATTTTCATTTTATTTTCCACTTTGTATATTTTTAAGATTTACGTATATATATATATATACATCCTGATTTCGCGTTTCTACATTTCTCGTGCAAACGCGCAAACATCGACGGTCTACCAATTAGTCTCGTTATTAACGAAATCAACGGGAAGGAGAATTTCGACGAGTACGACGTGCTCGAATTATCGGCGCAAAAAATAATGAATGTAATATTCCACGTCGCTTCAAGAGTGACGCTAAATCCGATGATTATTTTCGAAATTGCACGCTGCCTCATATACACGTTGATCACGAGCCAGTGGACGAAGACAAAGCGATTTGTCGAAAGTTTCGCAATTTGGATGCAGAGCTGCAGCATTCCTGTTAATAGGTATTGTCAATAGTAGAACGAGACTCCTCTATCCAGTCTCTCACCCTCTCTCTGTCTCTCATTCATGTGCCAGCCAACTCTTTTGTTCCCTCGTTTCATTCAGCTGGTGTTATTGATTTTCTTGCATTCTTCTTTCGTTCGTTTGCCCTATTTCTCCTTATTTAGACTGGCGTATAGTTGCCCGATTCTTCCTCGCTCGTGCGAATTCATTCATACTTCTTCCCTTTATACGTGCCTCCTCAGTTTCCCCATTTATTTTTTTGTACCGTTGCCACTCGTTTCGCGCGTACTATCCGCTGATTCACTTCGTTCGTCTTTCGGCTAGCTATGAACTTTGCACACACACACACACACACACCAGCGTAGTCACCCTGTCACGTGCTAATTCGACAAGTCAGTCAAATATTCATCAGCTATTCATTTCGTTCGTTCATCCTGTCCCGAACGATTCTCTTTCCGTCACGTCGTTGCCGATCCATCAATATATCTCCTCGCCTCTTCGCCTCTCTCGCCCGTACACCCGTCAGCCTCTTTTCTCTTCCGCGCTTTCTCAACCCGCGTTTCCATTACACATCTCACTACGTATATCCCCGAATCCCCAGCGACAGCGCGACGACGTTACACAGGACATTCTCGAGGGGTTAATTCGAGTTGACAGTACGGAACCGGTTTATAGAACGCGTCGCGGAACCGTGTCAAATGTGCACTGTCGATTCGAACACTGTCTCGCGAACTGGTCGAATTTCGGAATCCTATCCTTTCCTCCCATCACTTGGAGTATCGGAATTGTGTAAGTTTATTCGAGCATGAGCAAGTAGATATCATTTAATTTCTGTTCTACACGTACTGCTCTCTCTCTCTCTCTCTCTAACGTTTATATTTCTTGAGGCATACCACTAGGTCATTGTCGTTCAGGATAAATTGGATTATCATTACATTTATACGAGGAAGATTGAGCAAACTGGGAAAGACAATTTGTCTTTATTAATTTTAGAATCGTGAAAGTCTTTGGCTAGAAAACGACGGCGCCATCGCGATGATGTAGATATTACTTTTCTAAATTTGTTTCAACGTACACGACGTGTACGTTAGAGCATTACAGGGACAAAGGAACAGTTGGAACATTATAAATGATAGTGACAAATTTATCCTTAAAACGTTTTCTAGAAACGTTTCTCTAAGATCTTTCTCCCGGTATACGCGTATATAATTTATATATTTATATAATCATAATTATGTTGTAATTTATTCTTTACACATGTATGTGATTTATTCGTAAAAATCAGTCGAGCTTTAAGAGGAAACATAGTGAGTAATTCGCCTTGCCTTCGTGCTAAGTGGTACACGCGAACGAGAGGTACACTCGAAACAACGGATCGAGACAAAGAATCGAGAATCAATGAGGACCAAGCGATTCTCATTAGAAAATCGCTTTACGAACTCGCGGCGCTCTTTTGTTACGTAAATCGAATCCACTTACACGGACTGTTCCGCCAGCAGCTTCGGAGGGTGACGCTTCACCGAAGAATAAACTCGGAGCTCTCGTTAAATATTGTCTCAGTCGGGGGATTGAATCGATACAAATTATCGAGTTTCTCGCGAAAGCACATGACGTGCGTCTCTCTTTCGTCAACTCGGCACTTGAAATAAATCGTGCCTTTGCGACGTTTTCCTTGCCACGGTGTATAAAATACTGTATATAAAAGTGTACTCACGTCCCTACGTCACGCCACGACGAAGAAAATCCTTCACGAGAAAGCCGTCACGGTCCAGCCAGGTACTACCGATCCATCGTTCAGAACGTAACAGCGACGAACTCGCGGAAAAAAACCCGCACACCACATGGCCACCACAATTTTCAAGCACACTGTCCCGTAGAGCGCGCGACAACAATCGGCTCGTTAAAGCCGGTCCTCCGAGGTGATCGGCGAAATCGGCGGAATCGGAACTCGGTGACCTGGCAATAAGAGTATCTCGCGATCCGTGCCCGTGGCGACGACTAACTTGAGGGTTCGACCACGCGGCTCGTGCTCACGGCGCGCAATTGCTTTGCGCAGTCGAAAAGTAGCGAGCAGGGACGAGAGAACGAGGAAGTAGCGAACGACACCCTGGACACCGGTTCTGCCGACTATGTTCGTTAAACGGAAATCAAGAATTTGTTACTCCTACGTGTACGTGTATCCTCGTCGCGTTCCTTGTTTCACGCAGGTAACAACTCGCACAGCGCTCGAATTTACAACCATCGCTGCTAATAACATTTCCGCGTAGGAGGTGCAGAGGCACCGAGAGTGTATAGAATTCGTGCTACATGGCACGTTGCACGGAAGAACGCGATCGCGCGTGAAACACGAGCACGGAATTTCTTTTTGTTTTAGTTTACTGGTCGGTTGCGCGACGGAGACTGATGAGGGTTTGCGTTCGGCGGTCGATGATGTAGCTGCCGCCGCGCGGCGGGGAAGCGGTGGCTCATTGCGGGGCGCGTTTCGTTCTTCTGCGTGAAATTACTAGCGGTAATTCTAATTCGGGGATAAAATAATTTTTTCGGGTGGCCGCGCGGTTTTGGTAATGGGGATTTCCTGTCTGTTTTTCTTTGTCTCTTTCATTACCAGTTTTAATGAGATGTGTGCTCCTGATTAATTTCGCTCGAGTTCCTTTTCGTTGGAAGCATATAGTGGTCTGATCAAATACTTACTGAATCTACTTTCTCTGTAATCGACGTTGGAAATCTCGACAAAAATTAATTAAATGGCACAGAATTATATCGTTATTGATATGAATTATTCATGAATTTGTTTCAATTTCGTGAAACATTTAATTTCATTACGTTTCAAAGTTTCATTACAAAGATCGTAGCTCGATTTTCACTTCAAATATCTTGAACTGATCGTGATAGAAATTCAATTTGGAGAATTGATTTACATTGTAAATGAATTTTAACAAAAATGAGGGTGAAAAATAGATCTCGGTCTGATATAAATGAAATCTTATTTAAAATTGTGTTCAGTTATATAATTTCGCGAATGGTCCACGACTCGCTCGTTCTCACGAACGCAAAGAAGAATAGACTCGCGTGGTGTAATCGAAGAAGCTCTACTCTTGCTCTTTCGTCGCGAGCTGTTCGCGATAACTTTCGAGCGTCGTCGCTCTCCGAGAGTTCAGATGGAAAATCCCGGGTGGAAATTCATTAAAATTCCGTTGCCAGCCAATTAACAGTCAGCACGGTTTAATAACCGTGCATTTACCGTCAGTAGTTTGATATTGTATCACCGGCCGCGCGGCGAGACGAGCACCCGGGGAAAAGGGTAATCTGAATTGAAGCCAGCCGTAAGTCTGCGGAGGTTCATTATAGTATACAGTCAGTTTAGCAGTTCGCCGCCTTTCGGGTATTAGAGTTCTTCGGGAGTGGGAGTAGAGAGTGGGAGTCGGCGGTGGGTTTACACAGGATTTTCTGGGATTCAAACGTCGGGCCGCTGTCAGTGTGGTGGAAAAGTTAGCCGGCGTGCTTCCAACCGTTTGGCTTCCGCCGTTTCTCGCGACAGAGATTTCTCAAAATGTAAATTTAAAGCCACGTCTCCTTCACCTCCCCCCGCGAAGGTACAAATTCTTGCCACTCACGAATCGTATCGCGTCTCGTTTCTTCGCTTTTAGCCCTTCTCGTTGCAACTAGCCGTTTCGGCGAGATTAGCCGAATCTTGGCGCTCGAAAATTTTCAACGTCCCTCCCATGGGTTCGCCTTTCGCAATTTCTCAGGAACAAGGCTCGAGAGGAAACGGAGCTGCGACGCACCAGTAGTGGAAACTTATTTGCGAGCGTGGGATTATATCGAGGCAACAGGATGAAATTAATCCTTAATTCAGAACACACTGTACCCTCCGTTTCCCAGGTACACAGAACCGACAGACGCGTCGTGGACAAACTGGCCATAACATCCCGTTCCCACGCGCATCGCTGATATTTACGCTCAATTAATATTTCTCGCGCCGATATTTGTCGTGTCAACGGGTGGCTGAAATCGATTCGTCGGATAACAGTGGAAAGCCGTAAGAACCGCGCCGAATAATTTCGCTTGTAATGTTTCGCTTGCGAATTTCGATTTATCAAGGCTGGCCCGTGCCAGGATCATTTCGCGTGCAACGTGTTCGCCTTGGCTGGCGGCTCGTTCGACGTCCACGGAGACCGTTACATTCGTACAAAGATCGGGCACGATTGTACGTAACGTTCCGGAACACGGAGCGTTACGGCCATGAGAAGTTTCCTACGCCGCCGACTTCCATTCCGGCGACTATGATAAATTGTTTTTCACGTAGTTTTCCGGCGCGGTGCTGGCGGGCGCAAACTCCCGATCCAATGGAAATCTTTTCCACGGTGGGAAGCACGGCTGCCAGCCATCTGATGAGTTTAATCCCACCGATCGCTCAATTTCACGGATTTCCTCTGTTTAAGTCTTCGGCGAAGAAAAGCGAGACTAGCGGCCAGGTTCGAGGCCAAAAAGAAAGAAAAAAAAAAAAACTGTAAAATCCTCCACCAGCGTGTTATTTCGTTCCGCGAACGATTAAATTTTCGTGACGGTTCATCCTTCAGATTTCCGGATCTTGCGATCCTTTCTCACGCAAGATCCGGAATTCTTCGTTCTTGATTAAAAACCGACATAAATAATGTCCAGCGAAAGTCTGGAAGTTTTATGGAGGAGTTTGAGAGATCGGAGGAGAAATTGGATACTAAGGGAATCTTCCGGAGGGAAATTCGGTATATTAATTGGACTCTTCCTCGATCTCTCGACGTATTTGAAAAAATTATTGTTACTTGATAAATTGTACGAGAAGAAACCTTGGTTAACAAAGTCTACAAAATATCGTCCAAGTGACAAATGAAAGGACGTTATACGTGGCGATGGTCGAATTTGACTCGATGATATATATCTTTTCCTCTGCTATAACATACTTCTACGTTTTTAAATTTCTCTCGCTGAATATTTCAACTTCATTAATTGTTCTCAGCATGCTCTCATGTTCTTACCGACGTATATTTGTTTCATAATTCTACGATCGTTCTTGAACTTAAACTTCTCGGAAGAATCCATACATTTCGACACCGTTCAGCACTGATTGTGAGAGCCACTGCTCCACGCAATCATCGTAACGTTAAGTGGAACGTTCCGCGTTCGTCAAATTACCATAATTAATCAACTGGTGGAAAAAAACCAGCGACAAGCGACAAAGCGAGGGCGAAGTCGGTCGAGGAGAATCAATGCGTTAAATTGCACGATGCTTTTCAGCCCCTCTCCCCCTCGCAATTTTTACCTTGCCTCCGGCAATTTGCGACAACTCGTACGCGTCATTTCGCCGCGAACGAAATTACCAAGGCGAGCACCATGGCTCTCCTCTCTTTCTCCGTGTCGACAATAGGAAAAACATGCAGGTGTACGCTGCACGCGAGCCAGCTCCTAATTAAAGCGAGAAAGAAAAAGGAAAGGAGCCGGAGCGGGATAATTTTTAAGAGAACGGAAACGAAGGAAGCGAGAAGCGGAAAGCGAGCCGCGTCGGCGGATCGAGAAAACGGAAGAGGCGGGGCGGTGTTGGAGGGCGGGGGTGAGGGGGAAATTACCGCAACTGCAAGATGTCTTCGTTTGCCTTCACCGCGAACTGTTGCTCGCGAACGAAAGATCCATGGAAAGTGGCTGCGAACTGCCTACGGGGTGTAATCGGGTGTAAGTCGTTTAAAAAGTTGGAGTTCTTTTCGGAAGTGCAGAGAGAGAGAGAGAGAGAGAGAAAAGATATTTGACAAATTTCTGAACATCACGAGATACTCTTTAGATTTAGATTTAGATACACAGAGATTTTATTTTTTTACGTATTGTCTCATTTCTCACAGTAGTTCAGTACTTTTCGCAAAGTACAAATTGAGTTTGACGTTAGAGAATAGGAAGTGGAAGAGAAGTATTAGAAACCGAGAGAGAAGATATTGATTTGTTAAGCGGAGGAAGTCACTTAATCACAGTACCTTCGCTTCTACCTCACAGGTATATCCCATTCCCTTTAAAAATAAATGCCAATATTTGCAGAGCTGGATCCACCGCTATTTACGTTTAATTTCACCAATACCGAATCCTCAAATGAACGAACAATGGGAATAACAGGCCGACACTGGTATCATTCGGCCTGTTCCTTGAATAATAGAACAAAGACCCAAAGAGTTTTTTTCCCCCTTGGAAAAGGAACGATGATAGCGGTGAAACAAAAATTGCATGAAAAATTCGGAATACGGAATAACGTAGTTCCACGGCGGGATGAATGAATCGCGGAGAGAGAAAGAGAGAAAGAAAAAAAGCGTGTATCCCTTGAGCTGTTGGAAAATCCTCCAAGCTCGTCCAAGCTCGTTCTGCCGTTTTTTTCTCCCGGCGTTCCGTCCGCATAATACGCACGGCTCGTCCGCCGTTACTCAAGAAGAAAAGAGAGTCGGGTGGCCGGATCGGCAGGATACGTCCTCTTTAAAGGGACATCGGGCTGCTCTTTCAGCGGTTTTCATCCAAATTGGTGGTTTTTGTTTCCAGCCGGCCCCGTACCCGCGCTCCAGATTAGATTTCCAGCTAGTGAAAGTTTTCCTGCCGGCTAATTATACCGGGCGCGTCCCGGTTCGGTCTGCCGCGTTGCACAATTTTCCAAGGCACTCTCCGAGCGGTTACCGGCTCGATATTTCATTGGAAACCGTTTTCTGTTGTCGGACGTTTGCCGACGACCACCGGCCAAATTACTTCCACGATCGTAAAAGTGATCCTTTCCCCCGCCACGGTGGGAAGAGGGAACCTTTCAACCCGCCGTTTCCCCTTGCTGGCCAGGCTACTGCCGAGCTTCCACCCGAACCCGTCCCTCTCGAATCGCTGCATCAGACGGCTCCAGTTTATTTTACGTATTTGATGAAATAATCTCGAAGGAAGGAGGGCGAGTAGAAGAGAGAAAAATAGAAAAGAAAGAGAGAGAGAGAGAGAGAGAATGGGAATTATTCCATTGGATCCCTTTGACGCGAGCTGAAACGTAGAGCAGAGGAGCTATACGAAGAAAATCGTTAATGAAAGTATGGCGTAACAACGACGCGGCTGAATAGTAGGTCGAAGTCAACGGGGATCTAGGGTTACCTTTGATCTGATAATCCAGACGGAAATTTAAGCAGATTTAAACAGAGGGAATTCCGCTTAGTGAATTCCGTATTGAAATCGAGCTGCAGGAGCCTTGGCTCCATGCTATGACGTGGTTATACCTCTGCGATTCGAAGCGAGATGTTCGTATATA